CCCCAAAACCCCAAAACCCCAAAACCCCAAAACCCCAAAACCCCAAAACCCCTAACCTGAAATTTAAAATAGAATAAATATTATATTTAAATCTAATGGACGGACAGGACATTGAGCAGAAGATTACAGAGTTAGAAGACCAAGCCAATAAATTCCATGAGGATCTTAAATACCTAGAAGCTATAGACACCCTAGAAGAATTATTGGTGCTTAAGAAGGAAGAATATGGCACCACCGGACCGGAGTTTACCAAGACTTGTAGACAACTCTGAGAGATTTCTAATATTTTATCTGTGTTTTACCTTAAATAAAGATGCTACCAAGCAAGCTTATGACATTCTGAAAAAGTCAGAAGCCCTCTGAGATAATAACGAGCTTGGTAAAGCAATGACTTATAATAATATGGCTTGATATTACAGAAGAGTTGGAAAATTAAGAACTGCATTGAAATTTTTAGAGCAAGCTCTGAGCATCGAAAGCAGATTAAATAAAATAGATACTCAAGCAGATACACATTTGAACATCTGAGCTGTGCTTTCCCAGTTAAATAAACATGCTCTAGCACTAAATCATGCAATGTCTGCGGTGATTCTTCTCCAAGAAGACCTCCTCTTCAAAGCAGTCAATGGTGATAAGAAAGACGAAGATGATGAAGACCCTATCGAACTCAAAACAAAGAATAACAAAGACCCCAACAAAGACCGCAAGTCTGTGCTTGCAATTGCCTACCACAACATGGGGGTGGAGCAGGAGTTCTTGAGGTCTTATCACGCTGCCATCATGAGCTACAAGAAGGCAGTCAACTTTGCAGAAAAGAATTTAGGGCCTGACAATGGAATAACTGAAAACTTAAGAAATGTATACGAAAATGCAAGGTCAGAACTTGATCCTTCCTTTAAGAAGAAAAAGCCAACTGGAAAGAAAAAGAAAGGAGACCGCCTTAGGATGCAACAAGATATTGCTGGAGAGGATCAGGACCTTCCTGATACAATTGGCCATCACGAAGATGAGGATAAACTAGACATGGAAGGTGAACACGATGAAGATGAGGTTGAAGAAGACGAGGATCAGTAGAATATTTTATCCTATTTTAACAAGTCAATTTAACAAAAATAAATTGGGGTTTTGGGGTTTTGGGGTTTTGGGGTTTTGGGGTTTTGGGGTTTTGGGG